CATATTCTACTTTTGAAAAGTTTTAGCGGATATTATAGCATTGAATATTTTAGTGGCTAGCAAAGAATCGCCAGAATCACACTCAGGTAAGCGAAGTCATTTTCCTTCGATTTGAATTTTGTGGATGAACTTGTTGTCAATGTTATTTGCTTGCTGATAATTCCGGACTGTGTATATTCAGGTTTTAATCATATTAAGAATTTTTAAATATTGTTCATGTTGGTGCTAATTCAAATGTAATGATGCTACGGAATCATTCAGAAGAGTGACTCATTAAGTTAACGAAAATATTAAATGGTTGCATATCCGGGTGGAAAAATTGGGCCGGTTAGAATTACTGAATTAGTCATCTACGTTGCGCGGTGAAAGATTTAACCAATGCGTTTACCTTCTAAATGGAAGATAGGGCCTCGCTGACACAAAGACAGAAGCCATTGAAGATGCTTAACCAGCAGCATCTGAAAATCGTAAAATAGCATTTTTCAGGCTACTTAGATGACCATATTTAGAAAATCCAGCAATAATAGACAAATCTTGAATATCAGTCTTTTCCTTTCTGAATAATGGATGAAATAGTCATTAATTATTAAATTAACTTCTGACCATGTAGAATTTTATGAATAGTTATGTTAATGAAGTAACGCGTAAAAATTTTATGATCGATATAACCTTATCTGACCTCGTTTAATAGCAGCATTTTAGCAGAACACCATGCGCATGGAACACATGGAGGAGCGGAAGATCACACAGGCCATCATCATCAACGGTTTTTACGGTCGCTATTAAATTGGTAAATTCCGACAATGAGGTAATCAGTTTTCTCCTTATTCTGATGATTTGCATTTATGTGTTAGCACTAACTGCATGAATCAGTTGTTAAAATTGTTCCTGTCGACACTATTATTTAAACTTAAATTCCATTCAATCTACACAAATGTAATTATGGCAGAAAATAGACTTGCAGAAAGTTTAGCGAATTAAAAGTGGACTGAATTTAGACAATTCTGGTGATTTAACTCTTAGACTAGTATAACGCTCGCAATTCTTTACTGGAGACATTTCACATTCAGCTGACTGTTAACTTTGCATCTTGATGCAGAGGATTACATGTACGAGAAAAAGGTACTTGTAAAGCGCGAAATAAGTAACAATGAAATATTAAATCGTAGAAGATCATCAGGTTCATTGACGGTGTATAGAGTGATGTAGGCGTGATTAAAACAACTGAAGCTCTTTGTCTCCGCGGAATGCGTTTTATGATGAAATGCTTTTATTCTACATGGAAAGAGAGTCTGTGAGAATGGTTCATAGTAGCTGTTTGGAGCGGCATGCGGAAAATTCGTTGTGTAATGGCGTGTATCGTTTCGATAAACGCAGTAACAGTGTAGCATATGAGGCTGTCATTCATGCCGTAGCCACCAGATATATTTCAAATTGATCTTACAGGATCTTGAGCAAACCTATAATTCAGCATTTTCTTCATACACGAGGCCGTTGAAATGAGGAAATGAGTACGACCCATTTGGCGTTAATCAACACTGTGAAAACGTGCGACAGCGTTTGATTCGCCTCTACATGCC